CCACCAGAACTCCTGGCCTAGGAGTGTGTTGTGAGGGGCGACCGATAGGACAGAAGCTTCTGCATGCAGATGATCGATAGGCGACATTTTATAGCAACTCGTGATTGTGCGGCGAGCAGCGTTCTGAGCTGACTGAAGGCGGCGGAGGCTGGAAGAGCTGGTCGTAGAAGTTCAGGTTGGTGCCGCATACGTGAGGTGCGGCTTGGCCAGCACTTTGAATATGGTCGTCAGTGTCTCTTTCGCGTAACCCAAGAATGTGCCCGCCAGAGCCCTGAGAACCATGGTGCAGCGGCTCACTTACGTTGGATCAGACGATCGGTAATTATGAGTGGCAATTTATAAACTTGCATGGGAATAGATTAAGGTTCCGCGTCTCGGTTTCTATGGCAGAAGGGCTTTTGCCACGTAGAAACCTTTCGAGCCTCTTTAATGTCAGCTGTTGTCCAACAGCGGACCTATCTGCCTAGAAAGCAACCACCATACTTTCCATCTAGATATTAAGCCCGCCTTTGGTAGAGGGTCCGACATGCTTTTAGTTCTTAGGGCGTAGTTGACCTTCATTTAGAATACTGACGTTTTGGTCCCACGTGCCTGGGTGCTCACTCTCCTGCGATGTTTAGGGCCTTAACTCATGGATTGTTACTAGCTGTCTACCTTGACTATGGTCGCGTTACTCATCGTTTACTAACTCGCGTTTTTCACGTGCTCAGTGGTTCAGAAACAGAGTTCGTCAGACCTGTAAGCGCTTTTGGTAATTGACACAGTGCCGAGGGAGGAGTAGTACAGACTTCAAAAGCGGTTTCCATGTTGACGAGGAGGATCTAATTATCCCTACATGGCTTATGGAGCGATCATGCTAGCCACTGCTGCTCGCACTGGAGCCGGTATCATGTCATGGATTACATGAACAACATGGCTCAGGGGAACCATTCGCTTAGATCTTGTTGGCGTAAAGAAAACTGCTAATGAATACGCACTTTATATCGGCTTACAGCGCAGGCAAGAAGTGCGTGCGTTCTAGGGGCGAGGTGGAGCTGCGAACTGCCCTTGTGCTCCGTCCTTCCACGGACGTCAGACTGGAAAACGGCTCTATCGAGCAGAAGTGTTAAGGCTACGAAGGTTAACCCTAACAGCTACGATCTTCCAAGCCCGGTTCCTTGGGAGATGAGAGAAGTCTTGGGAAGGCCAGATTGTTAGTAATAGTGCATTCTGCAGAAGGATAGGAGAATAGGCGGAAGGAGTTTTGACTCTCGGATGACCGCAATCCGGCTGCTAGAGCGTAAATTCCAGAGTGACGACAGCGTCGGGACTGGCCCGATGGCCGTTGCATGCCTTGTTACAGTAGCCAATCACGTGGCTAATGTCTAGACTAGAGGTAGCGGCGCGACCTTGAGAGGAGCGAAGGCTGGCTAGGCTGGGCGCGCGGGCGTTTGCGCATAGGCCCGAGGCACGCGGCAAAAC